CGTGGTAGAACCCAGCCAAGATGGGAGTTTGGCCCAACTCATTTGATTTTACAAGGAAGAGACACTGAGGTACACAGAAGGGAAATGGTTTCTCCGAGGGGGCTGAGCCCTGGCCTGGCCTCACCCTGTGCGAGATGGAGGTTGGGACCAGCCCCCTCGCAAGGCCTCTGAACCCCTTCCCCCAGGAGATGCTGAAGGATGAAGTGCGGACCCTCACGTACCGGAACTCCATGTTCCACAACCGGCACCTCTTCAAGGACAAGGTGGTGCTGGACGTGGGCTCAGGCACGGGGATACTCTGCATGTTCGCAGCCAAGGCGGGGGCCCGGAAGGTCATCGGGGTGAGTCTCCTGGGGTGTTGGCGGCTGGGCCAAGGGGACCGAAGGGGGCCTGGTGGGGGCCGGGACATGGTGGGCCTGGGGGTCTCACCCTGCCTTCTTCCTGGGCCTTCAGATCGAATGTTCCAGTATCTCTGATTATGCCGTGAAGATCGTCAAAGCCAACAAGTTAGACCACGGTGAGTAAGCTCAGGAGGGGATTGGGGTTGTGGGGTGGCATGGTGGATTCCAGCCATGGCCGGGCCCCACTTGGCTGGTCCTCCCCGGGTCTCCTGGGGCAGTCTCCAGTCAGGGTCAAGCTGCAGTGCTAGCACCTCTGAGTGAAGGAGGACAGGAAGCACGTCCATTTTCTCCCTGCAAGCAGTCACAGGGTGACTGTGGAGCCACTGTGAGACATCCCCTGGCTGCTCAGCTGCCCCGTCTGAGTGGCCCTGCCCAGCGCCTCTGTCCAGAGAGGTCTGCAGCACCACACCGCACACCCAGGCGGAAGGGCTGCTGCCTTCCCTACTCGCCCCACCCCGTTCTTGTTCTCACCTGCTGGTAGCCTAGTGTGGTGCAGGGATGTCAGGGCATTCTCTCAACTGCTGTCACTGCATATTCCAGTGTTGTGACAAGTCTCCCATCACTGGGCACACATTTTATTCCTGCCACATGGTGTCACTGCACACCTAGACTAGTGCCTGTGTGATAGCATCTACAGAAGCAGACTCCTCTGGTTAAAACCATGGGTTCGTGCGAGGGTGGGCATGGGCAGGTGACCTTCCAGTTCCCACCAGCTCTACCAATGGGACAGAGACGTGGGAAAGTGCTTGGTTTCCAGATGTGGAGCCCTCTGGGAGCTAAGTGATTCTCTTTATTTGAAAGAGACTGCAATGAACCCGTGAGTGCCTAGCACTCAGCTTCAAGCGCACTCTGTGTGAATCCCTTCCCCTGGGCGTCCTCCTCTGTGTCTGGTGGGGCCAACTGAGACCTGACCATCCGGTCTTTATTCCGTCAAACCCAGGGGCCCCAGGGGCTTCTCTTTGGCACGGAGGGTGTCGGGCAAAGCCAGGGCCTTGTGAGCGCCCAGCCCAGGGCACAGTGTGAATCATGCACACCCGCCATGTACCATTTCTGCCCCTGCCTGGCAAGTGGCCAGTGTGGGGCCCGGGCTCAGTGGGGAACCGGTAGGTCCTGGGCTCCGTCCCAGCTCGAAAAGAAAAAGCTGGCCAGAATTGTGTGGGAAGTTGAAAATAGCCAAGAGAATGCAGCTTCAGCTCACAGATCCTTAGAACTGGTCCACAGCCAGCCCCAGCCCTGGTGTGGGGAGGCAAGAGCCATCCCAGCGGGGCCCCAGGCTGACGGTGCCCCTGTCCGCCTGCAGTGGTGGCCATCATCAAGGGGAAGGTGGAGGAGGTGGAGCTGCCGGTGGAGAAGGTGGACATCATCATCAGCGAGTGGATGGGCTACTGCCTGTTCTACGAGTCCATGCTCAACACCGTGCTCTATGCCCGGGACAAGTGGCTGGTGAGGCCGGGCAGGTGGCGTTCAGGGGAGAGCAGGAAGCCACGCTGGGTGCTCCCCAGAGGGGATGAAAAGGGTAGGGATGACTGCATTGGTGTGACAGCACCTGAGTGCTCTGCAGGAGACCTGGTAGGCCAGCGTCGCTGCCATCTTGGGGCGCCTTGCGGAGCGAGCAGCCAGTGTAGAGGTCCTGAGGCAGGGGTGCACTTGCTATGTGGAGAGGGGGGAGGGGCCGAGCAGCAGGGCCCAGGTTGCACCTTGCAGACTTTCCTCTCCACCCCCAGCCTGGGGACCCGCTGTGGCCCCCGTGCTCTGGCATCCTCTGGGGGCCATTTGGGGAAGGACTCCGGGATGAGGGCTGAAGCCTGGGCCATAGAGTCTGGGTGGGAGGTGACAGTGGCTGGGCAGGGCCCGAGGACAAGGGCCGGACAGAGGCGGGATCCGTGAGGTTTGGGGCCAGGGGTGCTATGGCTCCGTCCTTCATGCCCCCACCCAACTCTGCAGGCACCAGATGGCCTCATCTTCCCAGACCGGGCCACGCTGTACGTGACGGCCATCGAGGACCGGCAGTACAAAGACTACAAGATCCACTGTGAGCGGGTCCAAGGGCTGGGGGAAACTGAGGGCCCACAGCCTGGCCGCTATTTCTCAACCTGCACATCTCCACAGGGTGGGAGAATGTGTACGGCTTCGACATGTCTTGCATCAAGGACGTGGCCATCAAGGAGCCCCTGGTGGACGTGGTGGACCCAAAGCAGCTGGTCACCAATGCCTGCCTCATAAAGGTCCGGGGGCTGGGCACCACCTGGGCAGTGGGGGAGGCGTCTAAGCCCGCAAGCCTGACCTGTGCACCAAGGTGGTGCCTGAGGCCAGAGCTGCTGCCTGGGCTGCCACACGGTTCACGGGGTCAGATCATGGCTGGGGCGAGCCAGCCAAGCTGGCAGTAAACAAAGGCTGGGGAGGGGTAGTGGCTGAGTTCTGGAGAGAGGGGACAGGTGTCGTGGGCTTGGGTGTGGGGCAGAAGGGACAAGGAGACCTCTGGCAGCCTGGTTTTGTGCCCAGTCACCCAGCTGGCTGTCGGGAGCAGGATGGGCAGGGTGAGGAGCTGCACCCGCAGCCGGCTTGGGCAGAGCCGAGGGCAGTGGCCTAGGCTGGCATGGGCTCACGGCCTGTCCCTGCTCCACAGGAAGTGGACATCTACACTGTCAAGGTGGAAGACCTCACCTTTACCTCCCCGTTCTGCCTGCAAGTGAAGCGGAATGACTATGTGCACGCACTGGTGGCCTACTTCAACATCGAGTTCACGCGCTGCCACAAGCGGACCGGCTTCTCCACCAGTGAGCCAGCGCAAGGGCCACGCACAGGGCTGGGGGCGGGAGGCTTGTCGGTGAGAGGAGTGGGAAGAGGGACACGGAGAGCCCCCTGCCATGGAAGAGCCAGCTGGCTTCAGGCAGGGGACCAGAGTGTGCCGACCACCAGGGCCGTGGTGGCTGATGCACCTGTCCCCCAGGCCCTGAGTCCCCGTACACACACTGGAAGCAGACAGTGTTCTACATGGAGGATTACCTGACAGTGAAGACGGGCGAGGAGATCTTCGGCACCATTGGCATGCGGCCCAACGCCAAGAATAACGTGAGGCGAGGCGCTCGGGGGCCCTCAGATGGGGGCAGGAGAAGGGGGAGGCCTTGGGGTTTTGCTTTCCCCCAGCCCCTGGCAGGATGGGACTCGAGCACTGGGTGGGCACGGTGGGGCCAGTCTGCAGTGGGCAGGTGCCACACAGGGCAGCAACCAGGGCAAGCGCCTCGCTCAAAGCAGGCGTTTCACTGCATCCCCCGAGGGCACTTGGCACTGCATGGAAACAGCTGCCGTTGTTGCTGCAGGGGAGTGCTCCTGGCATCTAGTGGGCAGAGGCCAGGGCTGCTGGTGAACAGCCTGTGGTAACCCATAACTCTCCAGCCCTGGGAGAATCCCCAGAGTAAAGCGACAGGCACCAAAGGGAGGGGTCGCCAGCCCGGGGTGGCCCTGCCCAGCCCCCCACTCCCATGCCCTGGTGCGGGCGGGCTGTGGAGCTTGCCCGGAGGAAGGGCTGGAGGTTTTCCTCAGAAGTTGGCATCACTGCTGTGGCCATGGGCTGAGCGTTGGTCCTGGGAGGAGGGCGCCTGAGTCCTGTCTGGGGCGCTGCCCTTTGCCCCGTCTCCCCTCACCCCACCCTCTTGCCCGCAGCGTGACCTGGACTTCACCATCGACCTGGACTTCAAGGGCCAGCTGTGCGAGCTGTCCTGCTCCACTGACTACCGGATGCGCTGAGGCAGCACCCAGGGCCTGCAGCATTCTAGGCAGTTTTGGGGTCCCCCTTCCTCTCCTTCCCTCCCACAAATGGGGGTTTTAGGGGCCTGGGCTGGGGGAATGGGGAGGGCACATCGTGACTGTGTTTTTCATAACTTATGTTTTTATATGGTTGCATTTACGCCAATAAATCCTCAGCTGGGACCGGGCTCAGCTTCCGGGGTGTGCAGTGGTTTGGGGACCTCTGTGTATGTTGGGTACCATCCACACAGCTGGGGGAAGGGCCTTGCTTGGGGCCTGTTGGTCTTGTCCCGTTCCTGTCTGTCTCTAGCTCCTCTCCCTTGGTCTTTTCCTGGGGTCCGTGTCCTCTCTGGTTGCCTTGGGAGTCTTATCTTTTTTTCCCGTTTGGGCTACTGGGGGATTGATCCTTGAACCTAGAACCTTTTATTTTATTTTTTTTATTTTTATTTTTTTGCTACTAGGGATTGAACTTGGGTCCTTGCACTTGTGCAGCAGGCGGCGAAGCCACTGAGCTAAATCCCTGGCCCTAGAACCTTTATTTTTTTGAGAAAAAGTCTTGCTAAGTCACTGAGATTGCCCAAACCTGGGCTCAAATTTGTAGTCCTCCTGCCTCAGTCTCCCCGAGAGCTGGCATTACAGTTACAGCCTTGCCCCACCATCCCAGCTCCTTAACCCTTCTCTGGGGTCCTGTGCCCTCGTGCTGGCACTAGGCAGGGATCAGACCTAGCTACTGGGGGGGGTGGATTCCCAGCACCACTCACTGGGCCCTTAGGTTTCCCAGAAGGCCCCCCCACCCCACCCCACCCCCGCCCCCAGCATCACATTGTTGCTCTCTGGCTGTTTTTTCCTGTCCAGGACCCTCCAAGGTCAGGCCCAGGCTGACTGGTAGTGAGTAGGGCCTGGCCTCTGCGGCTGGGGAAGCTGAGTCAGGCAGGCATAGGGGTCCATCAGGGATGCCCTCCCTCCTCCAGCCTGAGGTGGGGTCCGGCCATCACTGCAGCTTTAGGGCAGTGGGGCCACCCACTTACAGAGCTGACCACAGAGGCCCTTCCAACCTGCCCCACAGCTCCAGTTCCACCTCTGCTTTCTACACCTGCCCATCGCCCCAGGCCTGTCCGCAGAGTCCCTGACCCCCATGACACTGCCCACTGACCTAGGTGATCCAGAGTGGAGGAGTCTAGAGTCATGACTGGGCAGCAGGCGCCTCTCACCTGTTACCCTTTCCCTGGGGCCCTGGTTCCTGGCCCTGTGTGCCTGGTCCCATGGTTCTGCTCTTGCCCCACCCACAGTGCTATGCGGCTCCCCGGGAAGCCCTACTTTGCATCTGCAGGGGTCACCCGGCCTCACTTCCGGAAACTACTTAAAGGGCTCTCTCCGGAGGTCCCCCTGGGCATAACGGGTGGCATGACCCACATCCCCAGTGAGGGCTGTGGCGTCGGGCCAGAGGCAGGGATCCAGGTTCGAATCCTGTCCTTCTGTTCAGCCGTGTCTACTCTAGACCTTTGGCCTAAGTTGTCTCTCCCCGGGAAATGGGAACTCGGGGGCCTACCTGGGAAGAGGCAGGGCCGTTTCGCCCGCGGTGCCCGCCGATCCTGACCCGCCCCTGACCTGTCCTCGCGATGGCTGCCCACATCCTACTGCTGATGCTCCTCTGCTGACAGGTGAGGAAGGCCAGCCGGAAGGAGACACCCGGTGGCTGCCCTGCGCCTGAGGGGGCGCTCTGTGAAACGTGTCTTCTCCTTTGCTCCTTCCCCAGGCGGCCCCGGACCCAGGTTCCTCAGCGCCTCGGCCGCAGCTGCTCGCTAGGCACCTGCCTGACGCACCGCTTGCCGCACCGCCTATCCTGGGCGCGTGCCCTCCCCGCCAAGGAGCCCTCGGGGAAGGCCGCCCGGGAGCCCCAGGACCCCCTTAGCTACGGGCGTCGCCGGCGGCGCGAGGCCCCCACCCTGCCCTGCCTGGGCCTCGGAATCCCTAGCCATGTGCCCGGCGCCAACCCGGGCTTCCCCACCCCTTCCTTTGCTCCGTGAAACCGGCTCCCCATCCTCTCCCCAATGTCCTGGGCCGGACAGAATGCTGAGGTCCGGAGCCGAATAAAACAAGAGTCCCCGTTGTGTCTGTCTGCGCCCGGTGTCCGCCGGCCACCTGGCCCGGTCCCGACCCACTTTTCCCCTTATCCATGCTCCTGGCGCTCTCGGAAGTCCCTCCCCCGTCTGACTGGCGTTCCATCCCCCAGCGCCTCCTCCCGGTCAGCTCGCCCTGCGCCTTTCACGGTGGACACGAGGCGCCTGACCCCATGCGCTCCTCCCTCCTGGGCCGGAAAGGTCTGGGAGGCCGCCGCATGCGTGACCTCGCTGTCCCCACGCTGGACTGCGTCCCCAGCCAAGCCTCGGCCCTCGGAAAGAAAGTAGGATCCCCGCTTGCTCCTACTTGGGGAGCGTGGGGCGTAAGGCCGCGGGGTTCAGTGGAACGAAGGGCGCCGAATGGGGGTGCATTGACCGGTGGAAAGGGGGGGGCTCGAATGGAGGTAGAGGATTGGATGCTGTGTGTCAAAGGGGCGGGGACAGAGGCCACGCTGCAATAAAGCCGAGGACCGGGTTAGGCACAAACACGACAGAAATCCGGGTGTCTGTCGGATGGTCCTGTGGTGGGCAGAACTCCGGGGGCCGGTCGGCCAGGTGGTGGAGTCGTCCTACTGGGCTTGGACATACGCAAGCGAAAGACTTAGGTCCTGGGCTCAAAACCGGGGAGTAGGGGGGTGTGGGGTGTACGTCGCTTCGTTCCCAGCATCTCATCTGCACAAGCCTGACCTAGAGTAAGTATGGGGCCGCGGGCTGGGCTGCTGGGGTGAGGGGCGGGGGCGGGCTGGGCCAGGGGCTTCTCCATCCCTGGCCTGGAGCCTCCGCTTCTGGCCTCGCATCCCTGCTGCGGGGCATGCGCAGTAGGGCGCTTCCTCCCTCTCCCATCCCCCTCTAGCTGGGCGGGGGAGGGGCCGCCCCAGGATGTGATAATTTATAGACCCCCCCCCACACACACACACACACTTGGGATGGGAAGCGGAAATAGGCTGGACAGGGTCCACATCCGGCAGGTGTTCCTCTCCCAGGGGTCTCTGATGTGTTTGCTGGAGACATCACAACTCAGTCCCTCAGTTTCCTCACGCACCCTGAAGCTTAAGACTTTTTGGGGGTGAGGGGCACTCCCCGGGCACTGCGCTCTCCCCACGGCAGCTAATGGGGTTCACCTGAGTGATCAGCCCCACTGCTCTCTGCAGCCAGAGGTTCCCAGTGAGACCCCTCCCCCAACGCCTCTGAGTCTCAGACCAGGACCCGCAAGACCCGCAGGGGCTCTGGCCCGGGGAGTGGGTGCTGCATCCCTGGGCTGGTGGGAGAGGGGCGGGAGCCTGGACCCCCTAGTCCTCGGGAAGAAGAGGGCTGGAGTCCGAACCGGTGGCCTAAGGGAGGGGGCGGGGCCTGGAGCGTGACACCCGTCCCCCCAGGCCCCCCCCCCCGTGACATGGCAGAAGCGCACCAGGCCGTGGGCTTCGTGCCCTCGCTGACCCCGGACGGAGCGGACCCAGAGCTCGCCGGCCAGGTGCTGCGGAACATCTACCTCTCGGGGCTTTGGTCCTGGAAAAGGCACCTTTCGCGTTTCCGGGTGAGGACTACCGCTTGGCTTCATTCCGGGAATACAGCCCCCACTTTCCGGAAGCCTGGGGCCGCTTCCCTGACCGACTGTACCTGCTGTGGGACTCTGGCTGTCCCCTGCCGGGATCCTTCAGCGTTTCTCTGTGGCTCCCTCAGGGGTCCTCACCCATGAGCGCCCCTTTGGCCTCTTACACCCATCCTGACGCCATGCTACCCTACCGGCCCACATGTGACTCCTGCACCTCCCCAGTGTCTCAAACTCAGCACCCCCTTGTTTTTCTTGTGTGCTGGGAGTGGAACCCAGGCTAATGCCTGCTGTTGAGCTGCACCCCAGTCCCTTCTTAGGGTTCCCACCTCACCTTACCTCTTCCTGTCCTCTCCTGCTTCTAAACAAGGTCCTCCTTGCCCCAGATCCTCTGGGCGCCCCACCCCATCAGGAATGGTGGCACACACCTGTCATCGCAGTATTCTGAGAGGCTGAGGCAGGAGGATTCCAAGTTCAAGCCCAGCCTGGGCAACTTAGCAAGACCCTGTCTCAAAACAAAGAATAGAGAGAGGATGGGGATGTAGCTCAATGTGAAGGCCCTGGGTTCATTCTCCAGAACAAAAAAATAAATCGGGCTGGGGATTTAGCTCAGTGGTTCCACCGCCTGCCCCTGCAACTGCAAGGACCGGAGTTCGATCCCCAGTACCAAAAAACCCCAAAATTTCCCAGGAGCGCCCTCCTCTTTCTATGCTGGCCTCGGGTGGGACCAGGTCTATCTGCCCTGCTGCATCTGAGGCCCCAGCCCAGGGCCTGGCCCACACTGCCGTGACAGTGACTATCCGGGAAGCATCACGCTCAGTGTGGGGACCTGTGGCTGAATGGATGCCCTTTCCTCCCCACAGAATGACTTCCTCAGTGGCGTGCTCCCCGCCAGCCCCTTCAGCTGGCTCTTCCTCTTCAGTGCCATCCAGCTTGCCTGGTTCCTCCAGCTGGACCCTTCCCTGGGGCTGATGGAGAAGATTAAAGAGCTGCTGCCGGACTGGTGAGGTCCCCACTCAGCCCAGTAAACCTCCTAATCCTCCTGTTAAGTTTCTCTACCAGTGTAGTGTGCCTGCCAAAGAAAAATGGCCTCTGACATTTACTTTGGGTCAGATTAATAAAGGTATGACGTCAGGAAAAAAGGAGGTGACTCCCTCTCTTCTCTGTCACTTTTCTATCCTGGCTGCTTCTTGTTAAGAGGGATGGTAACACATTAGACGTATGAGCGCTTCCAGTCTCCAGTTATATAATCTGTCTTGAGAGATGGCACCATTCTCAGTTGGCAAAGCCTTTGTCTGTAAAATGGGGATAATAATAATTGATTCTTAGGGTTCTTGGGAGAATTAATCAAAATCATCCATGGGAAATATTCACTCTCGGGCCAGGGGATTACGAAATGAGACTGGTTCCATTGTTACTGTTGCTGAGTCACTAGGAAAGGTGTGAAAGTCAGGTCCTGGGTCTCCCATGTAGTGCAGGCTGCCTTCGAACTCACTGTGTACCCCAGGTTGGCCTCGAACTCAGGGAGATCCTCCTGCCTCAGCCTCCCCAGCGCTGGGATCACAGGTGTGTGACCTACACCCAGGTCTAGCCTCTCTTTCTCTCCCCCAGGGCGGGACAGCACCACAGGCTCCGGGGAGTCCTGGCGGCTGCGCTGTTTGCCTCGTGTTTGTGGGGAGCCCTGATCTTCACGCTTCACGTGGCCCTGAGGCTGCTTCTGTCCTACCATGGCTGGCTGCTCGAGCCCCACGGGGCCATGTCCTCGGCCACCAAGACCTGGCTGGTACGTGAGAGCCGCAGACAGCGCGACCGGGACCCCTCTCCGTCCCTCTGCCTCTCTCCAGGTCTGTCTCGCTCTCTCCGGGTCTCGGACCCCTCTCCGGGTCCCTTCACCTCTCAGGTCGCGGTCCCCTTCCCTCTGTGGTCAGGCCCCGCCCACCCCGGTGCTCCGTGACCGTGACCCGGGGGTCCCCGCAGGCCCTGGTTCGCATCTTCTCCGGCCGCCGCCCGATGCTCTTCAGCTACCAGCGCTCCCTGCCGCGCCAGCCAGTGCCCTCGGTGCAGGACACCGTGCGAAAGGTGGGCCGGGCCCGGAGGTGGGAAGCGGGCGCGCGGGCACCGGGTGACGCCCCCTTCCGCCCTCCCACCACGTAGTACCTGGAGTCCATCCGGCCTGTCCTCTCGGACGAGGACTTCAACTGGAGGGCGGTGCTGGCCCAGGAGTTCCTGAAGCAGCAGGCGTCGCTGCTGCAGTGGTACCTGCGGCTCAAGTCCTGGTGGGCAGCCAACTATGTGAGTCCCGCCCCTGCCACGCCCAAGCCCCGGGCCTGGCCGCCATTGGAGCCCAGAGGTGCCAACAAACGAGCCCCGCCCTCTGCTCGAGAAACTGGTCACCCCCCCCCGGCCACGCCCTCCTGTCCGTGCACCTGTTGAAGAAGCTCCGCCCTCCTTCCAATAATTGAGCCCCGCCCCAGATGCCCCAATACTGAGCCTGGAGAATTTAGCAGTTTATGAGACTGCTATCTAATGGAGGGTCTTGGGGAACTCATTTGCCTGTACTTGGTATCCTGAAGAAACGAGCAGGACTTGAAGAAGGAGTGACAAGAGTAAGATTTTTTTTTTTTTTGTACCGGGGATCGAACTCGGGTCCTTGCACTTGTGCAGCAGGCAGCGAAACCACTGAGGTAAATCCCCGGCCCAAGATTTTTTTTGTGTGCTGGGGATGGAACTCAGACCAAGGCAGGCGCAGTGCCCCTGAGGTAAATCCCCCGCCCGACCATACAAGGTTTTTAAAGCAAATGTCACGGCATCCAGAACGCACAGGAGGAGGTCTGAACCTAAATACAGATGAGGCTGATGGGCCAGGGTCATGTACTTTTTTGTTTGTTTTTGAGGCAGGGTCTCGCTATGTAGTTCAGGCTGGCCTTGAAATCACTACACAGCCCAGGCTGGCCTCGAACTCACAGAAATCTTCTTGCCTCAGCCTTCCAAGTGCTGACAGGTGTGCGCCACCACGCCCAGTCCAGGGGCATGTACTTTTGGCTTTGTGCATGCCTGGGGATAGGGTGACCTGCTGAGTATGGACGGAGCCCACAGCTTCCTGGGGATCATTGGAGCCTCGCCCTAACCACTCTAGAGGGCACGTGAAGACTGGGTCAGTTGGGAACTATTGACTCCGCTGCCGGCTTGCAGGCCTGTCATGGAACATTGCTCGAAGTCTAGAAGAGAGGATTTGGAGAACTTTGTCAATAGGCAAGATCCAGAAGGGCAAGCAAGAATAATTAACGTAAGAATTGGTATAGCCAGGTGTGGTGGCACACACCTGTAATCCCAGCACTCAGGAGGCTGAGGCAGGAGGATCACCATGTTTCCAAGGCCAGCCTGGGCTACATAGGGAGACGCTGCTTCAACAAACAAAACAAAAATATATAAAAAGAACTGGTATAAGCAGCCCCATTAATGCCTACATCCAACTCTTGAGTGTGGTCTGTGTACACTTGTATTAATTCTTTGATTTTTATGAAGTTAGTTTCTACCTATTTTGAGTTATTTATCCAGAAGCAACAGGTTTCATTTAGCACGTTGCAGATCCTGCCCATTTGTGCAGTGAAAACAGCTAATGGCCTTCTATTTTTTTTGGTACCAGAGATCGAACTCTAGACCTTGCACTTGCAAGGCAGACAGACAGCAGCACCACTGAGCTAAATCCCAGGCCTTGGTCTTCTATTTCTATTGTTGTTGCTGCTTTTTTTTCCAGTACCAGGAATCAAACTCAGGACCTTGAGCTTGCCAGGCAGATGTGGCACCACTGAGCTACATCCCCTGCCCTTGCTTTTTGGTTTTTGAGACAGGACATAACTGTGTTATCCAGACTGGCCTTGGGCTCCTGGTGATCTTCCTGCTTCAGCTTCCCAAGTGTTGACAGGCCTGCCGAAGGCTGTTTAGGAGCAGCAAATGGGGCCTGGGGCTCAGCAGATACAGGGCATTAAAAACCACACTAATAAGATGCAAAACGGCGATAGCATCCAATCCACGCCTCGCATGCTCAGCCGAGAGCAGTGCTGGTTGGGCACAGCAGCGTGGGTGGCAGGGACACCAGGGTTAGCTCTCTTCGACCCAGTCAAGCCAGCTTCTCTACCTGCCATGGTAGCCTGCTCAGGGGCCTGTGACTGGGCAGACAGTTTCTTCTCCCCTGTAGTTTAGGCTGCTGGGTATTAACCACCCTGCATGGGCAGACAGCTTTACTGGCTCCCAGTTTGCTCTGCCTTCTACCTCAAGACTCTGTCTCAGAGCCAAGTGGTTGGTTCCAGCCTGTAATCCCAGCACCCAGGAGGCTGAGGCAGGAAGATCCATGTGTGTTTGTGGCCAGCCTGGGCCACACAATGAGTTCAAGGCCAGCCTGAACTACAGAGTGAGATCCTGCTTCAAAAAACAAAGAACTCCTAGTTCGATCCCCGGTACCAAAAACAAAAAACAGACAAAAAAAAACAACAAAAAATGAAAAGAACAAATGAAGCAAAACCAAAAAAATCCCATCTCCAAATACGAAAGGTAGGGAGGTGCTGGGGCTGTAGCTCAGTGAAGGTTCTATCTCCAGTAATACACACCCACACGCACACATGAGATGATTCCACATATTTTCTTGTGCACCCAGTCGTTTTTACTGAAAAATATGTCTCCATGCTCATTGTGTGCCAGCAAACATGGATGTACCTTATCTTTTTACCAGCTGTGTAATATTCCCTGACCCAAGTGTAACATGCTTTAGTTAACTAACCCCTGATCCATAGACTTCTATGTTTTGCTAGTTACTGATCATAATGGTCTCCTTCTTTGAGCTCTACCCTGCCCATGTGACACAGGAAAGTTGGTGCCCCACTATCCCACTGTCCCTCCCCTTCCAGGTGGCAGCCTGAGTGTCTCCTGCCCCTCCCTTAGGTCAGCGACTGGTGGGAAGAGTTCGTGTACCTGCGCTCACGCAGCCCGCTGATGGTGAACAGCAACTATTACCTGACGGTGAGGGGGGGAGGGGCTGGCACACCCCAGACCAGGGCCCGGGAGCACAGCCTGGAGCCACCTTATCCGCCCTCTGTGGGGGCCAGGACCCCATTAGGGGGCTCAGGGATGTTGCTGTCCCCTCTGCTGGCCCCAGGATTTCCTGTATGTCACACCCACGCCGCTGCAGGCAGCTCGCGCGGGGAACGCTGTCCATGCCCTGCTCCTGTACCGCCACCGGCTGCAGCGCCAGGAGATCTCCCCGGTAAGATGCCAGGAGAGTGGGGGACGGAGGGTGGCCCTGTGTGGGACCTGGAGGTCCGGAAGGAGCTCACGGCCCCGGCCCCCTGCAGACTCTGCTGATGGGAATGCGCCCCTTGTGCTCTGCCCAGTACGAGAGAATATTCAACACCACGCGGGTCCCGGGGGTGCAGAAAGGTGAGGCCCCTTCTCCGATCCCACCGCCCGGGGCGCAGCACTGTGGTAGCAGAGGCGGGTTCCTGCCTGGAGCCTGTCTGCTGAGGCTCCCACCCTTCCTGTGTGGCCCTGGGCAAATGATTCTCCTCTCTGAGCCTCAGTTTCCTTTTCTTTAAAATGGGATAATAAGCCAGGTGTGGTGCACACCAGTAATCCCAGCACTCAGGAGGCTGAGGCAGGAGGATGCTTGGAGTTCGAGGCTACATAGTGAGTTCAAGGACAGCATGAACTATGTAGCAAGACGCTGTCTCAAAAAACAAACGCAAACAATCATGGGGAAATAACGGTACCTAGGGGGCTGGGATGTAGCTCAGCGGCAAATAATAATAATAATAATAATAATAGTAGTAGTAGTAGTAGTAGTAGTAGTACCTAAGGGTGAGGATCAGGGCGTTGGGCAGAGCTCCAGGCCCAGAAGAGGGCTCCGTTATTCTTACGACGCACCGCCTCCAGCTTCTGCCAACCCTGCCCCTAGACCACCTTCGCCACCTCCGCGACAGTCAGCACGTGGCTGTCCTCCACCGGGGCCGCTTCTTCCGCGTGGGGACCCACTCCCCGCACGGCCTGCTGCCCCCAAGGGCCCTGGAGCAGCAGTTTCAGCGCATCCTAGACGACCCTTCGCCTGCCTGTCCCCACGAGGAGCACCTGGCGGCCCTGACGGCCGCTCCCAGGTGCGGTCAGAGGCCGCGGTCCCGGGTTGTGGGGGTCGGCAGTGGAGGCGGCCGGGCTCAGATGTGCCCCCCACAGGGGCTTGTGGGCCCAGCTTCGCCAGACCCTCAAGACCCGCGCCGCCCACGCCCTGGAGGCCGTGGAGGGGGCCGCGTTCTTCGTGTCGCTGGACCCCGAGCCCGCGGGGCTCACCCGGGAGGACCCCGCGGGCTCGCTGGATGCCTATGCCCACGCCCTGCTGGCCGGCCGCGGCCATGACCGGTGAGTCCCCCAGACGGCACCCAAGCCCATGCCCAGACCCTGCAGGCTGTGGGTTCAGAGCCAGTCCCTGGACCCATAACCAAGTCTCAGTGTGCTAGATTCAGGGACTGCAGATCTGTGGGCCACCCAATCCCGAACTCAGACTCTTTGATAGAGATGCCCAAACCGGGAGACTTCAGACTCACAACTTGGACCACTCACTCTTCAGATCTTCCTGCAGGCACCCCAAACACAGGACCCCAGACCTGGGTCCCTCACACTTGGAGATCCTTAGGCTTTTTTTTTTTTTTGGTACCGAGGATTGAACTCGGGTCCTTGCGCTTGCGCAGCAGCCGGTGAAACCACTGAGCTAAATTCCCGGCCCTTTTTCTTTTCTTTTCTTTTCTTTTTTTTTAAGACAGGGTCTCACTATGTAGTTCAGGCTGCCCTTGAAATTGCAGTGATCCTCCTGCCTCAGCCTCCTGAGTGCTGGGATTACAGGCATGTACCACCATGCCTGGGCACAGACAATTTCTCCATGCCCACCCAGCACTACCCTGACTTTCTAGGACCAGGAGTGGCCTCCGAACTTCCAGGCACCCAGAAGGCCTTGAACCACGAGGAGATCCCCAAATCCTAGCCATGCCTGCACCTCCAGAGCTACTGTAGGACCCTAGTGGTCCCTACACCAGCCCCCCAGGACTAGCCGATTCCCCACCTCCCTCAGCCCCAAAAGCCCACAGCCTTTGGCAAGTTCTCCCCACCCCCACTGTCTGGTGACCCTGCTGAACTGTCCCCCACAGCTGGTTTGACAAATCCTTCACCCTGATCATCTTCTCCAATGGGAAGCTGGGCCTCAGCGTGGAGCACTCGTGGGCCGACTGCCCCATCTCAGGACACATGTGGGAGGTAGGGCAGCCTCCCCGACAGCCAGGGACCCCAGCCCACCTCCAGAGACCCTCTCAGCAAGCTGAGGCTCAAGAGACAACCAGAGAAGGGCTTAGCAAGCACTTGGGGCTAGGATGATGACCTTAACTTTGATGAACGGGTAACTGGGCCTCAGAGAAGGAAAGTGATTTTCCCAGTCACACAGCAAGGAGTTGCAGAGCGAGAATTCAAATCCAGGCTGCTCAGAGCGAGAATTCGAATCCACACACGGAGGCAGAAGAACCATCTTCCAGCTCCATTTACTCCATTTACTCCCTTACTCCCCTCTTTTGAGTTTCTGTTTCCCCCTTCCCCAAATGAGAGTTGGGATTTTTCTTTTTCTGTTTTTGCCACGGGGAGGATGGAGGCCTCATGCATGCTGGGCTCTACTTCTGAGCTGCCCCACAGCTTGGAGCTTTTGATCTTAGGAGAATCTTAGCATGAGGAGGCACCCCACTGCACCTCACTGGGGCCCAGTCCTCCATGGTGGTGGTCAGATTCCCTGGCCCAGGGTGGACCAGGCACAGATGAGGGGAAGGAAGGTCCTTTCCAGACCTGGAGAACAGCCACTGACTGGCCTTTCTGTTCTTGTTTCTCCTGTGTAAAATGGGATTTTCCCTTTGACTATATCTGAGTTCCTTGAACTCATGGCAATCCTCTTGCCTCAGCCTCCTGAGTGCTGGGATTACAGGCATGTGCCACTATGCTGGTTTATTATATTTTTAAGTACCATTCAATTCAGGTTGACCTCAAACCCTTCTGACCACTTCATACCAGCATCTCAACTCTGCATATAGACTCTGTTTTCTTTTTTTTTTTTTTGGTACTGGGGCGCAAACTCGGGACTTTGTGCTTGCAAGGCAGGTGCTGGAACCACTGCGCTAAATCCCCGGCCCTGCATATAGACTCTGAAGGTACAGATGTAGCCAGACAAGGTGGCACATGCCTGTTATTCCAGCACTCTGGGAGGCTGAAGCAGGAATACTCCCAAGTTTGAGCCCAACCTGGGCAATTTAGTGAGATCCTTTCTCAAAATAGAAAAAAAAATTTTTTTTGTTTTGTTTTTTGAGACAGGGTCTCACTATGTAGTTCAGGCTGGCTTAGGACTTGTGGTGATCCTCCTGCCTCAGCCTCCCGAGGGCTGCTGGGATTACTGGTATACACCACCACAGCTCTAAAAATAGAAAATTTTAAAAGGGCTGGAGATGTAGCTCAGATGTAGCTTTTGCCTAGCATGCTCAGGGCCCTGGGTTCGATCCCCAGCACCACACACACACAAAAGCAAACAAAAGACAAAAGAAGCCCAGCACTCGTAACCAGCTGGGCTGGACATTAGCTCTGCTCTCAGTGAACATGAACTTGAGGACCTGTCTGTGAACCCCGGGGGTTTGTAATTCTCGAGGATGCCCTCAGCATCCCCCACCAAAAAAATTTTTTTAAGTTTCCTGAGCAGGGGTCGCTGGTGAGGCCCTCAGCCCAGGGACAGAGGGCTCTGCCTGCCCCTTCTGCCTGCAGTTCACCCTGGCCACAGAGTGCTTCCAGCTGGGCTACTCGGCAGACGGCCACTGCAAGGGGTGCCCCGCCCCAGCGCTGCCCCCGCCCCAGCGGCTTCAGTGGGACCTTCCAGACCAGGTGAGGCTGGGATCCCCAGATTCCTCGCCGCTGCTCTGAACTCATCCCGTCCCCGTGTTCACACTGAGAGCCGACCCTGAGTCCACCCCACAGCCAGTGTGACCCAAAACGTTCAGAGCCTCCAGCCCCAACCCCAGCTCTGACCCTGTCCCACTGCCCATCCCACCCTCCCCAGTGCCAGCTTCATCGAATCCCAAGAGCGTATCCCACCCAGCACCTGCCAACCCGTCCACAACTCTAGCTCAGTCTCTGCAATGAGGAATGGAAACTCAGATTCCAGTTCCACTTCCCAGACCCCGTCAGTCCACCACCATCCCCATCCCCATTCCCAGCTCCAGCCCAGCCCCACCCCACTTCCATTCTCATCGCCGTCTTTACCCCTGTCTTCACCCTGGTCCTTCCATTCCGCCCCTTCTTTCCATTTTCCACCTCCACCCTAACTCCCTTCCCACCTTTTCTCCTAGCCCCACTCCCAGCTCTGACCCTACCCCGCCCATAACCCCAGCCGTCCCTCCCTCCTTCTCTGGCAGGTCCATCTGTCCATCTCTCTAGCGCTGCGGGGAGCCAAGGCTTTGTCTGGCAACATCGACTGCCACATCTTTCCCTTCTCCCACTTCGGCAAGAGCTTCATCAGACACTGCCACCTCTCCTCAGACAGCTTCGTCCAGATGGCCCTGCAGCTGGCCCACTTCCGGGTCAGTCGGGCTCCCCACTCCCAGCCCCCTCAGGCCCTCAGGCCCCTGGGCCCCCAGCACCTGCCACTTCCACCCCCTCAGCACCTCCTCTCGGTCACTGCTGCAGGGGTCTGCCATCTTGATTTCTCCTTTCGCTTCTGTGAAGGAGGCAGCTGGAGGCTGGGCAAGGTGGGTTGAGTCTGTGAAGATTTCCTGAACCTAGCTGACAGGCTCCTCCCCTCCTTGTCTCCCAGGACAGGGGTCAATTCTGCCTCACTTACGAGTCGGCCATGACTCGCTTGTTCCTGGAGGGCCGGACGGAGACAGTGCGATCTTGCACGAGGGAGGCCTGCAGCTTTGTGAGAGCCATGGAGGACAAAGAGAAGACAGTGGGTGTGGCCTGCACTGAGGCCTCTGTCCCTGGGGCTCACCAGTATATTTGCAAACACTTACACGGCCAGGTCTGAGGGGAACCAGGGACAAGGGACAAACAGACTGGTCTCTGGCTTCCAGGAGCCCATGGAGGAGGAGGCTGAGACAGCCCAGCATAGTGCACTCTGTGCTTTCCTGGGGTCTCACAGGCACTAGGGAGCACTCAGAGGGAGCCTTGTTTCCATAATGCAGCTCATGGCTTATGTAGCCTCTGTACCACCTTGTGACCTCTGTTTGCCCCTTTGGCCACTTCCCTGGAACCTCTGCTCAGGGGACCAGGCCCGAAGCCCCTCTGTCCCCTTCCCCCTCCCCATGAGATCCTGTGCCTCAGTAGAAGTTTGGGCTCCGGAGTCTCGGACAGACCTGGGACCCACCTGGTTCTGCATTGCTCTGTGGCCTGGGGAAAGTGCCTCCCCTCTCTGAGTCTCTCCCCTGGGTGAAGTGGGGGGCAACCCCTGCCTTGAGCCAGGTGTGCCACAGGGTGGCCGGCAGTAAGCCCGAGTCCTGTCTTTCCATGACCTGTGACCTCGGCGGCCCAGGACCCGCAGTGCCTCGTCCTGTTCCGCGCCGCAGTGGACAAGCACCAGGCGCTGCTCAAGGCGGCCATGAGCGGGCAGGGGGTCGACCGCCACCTCTTTGCGCTCTACGTCGTGTCGCGATTCCTTCATATGCAGTCGCCCTTCCTGGCCCAGGTTGGGGGGGGCAATGAAGGGGTTTGAGAGGGAACTGGGGGACCTCGAGCGAAGGGAGGGACTTGAAGGCAGTGAGGTTGAAGTTGGAAAAGTAGAGGGTCCAGGACAAAGCCGGGGAGAGAGTGGGCGAGGAGGAGGAGGGCACAGGGGCGTGGTCGCTGTCAGGGGGCGGGGCCGGGAAGGAGCCATATAGTGGAAATTGGCAGTCAGAGGTCAGAAAAGCTCCAGGGATGTGTAGAGTGGAGCTGTGTGAAGGGCGCTCGGACCTGAAGGTCTGTCTTACATGTGCTCAGGTTTACTCGGAGCAGTGGCAACTGTCCACCAGCCAGATCCCTGTTCAGCAGATGCACCTGTTTGATGTCCACAATTACCCGGATTATGTTTCCTCGGGTGGCGGATTTGGGCCCGTGAGTGGAGTGGAGTTCCGGCCTGGGGCCCTGAGGGAAGAGGGGCTGGGAGCCTGCGCGCCTGCATGGTGGTGAGGAAAGGGGATGCGATGTTGTTCCCTTCACTCTCCTACTCCAGGCGGATGCCCACGGTTATGGTGTGTCTTACATCTTCATGGGGGATGACGCGATCACCTTCCACATCTCCAGCAAAAAATCCAGCACAAAAACGGTGAGACAGACTTCATCCCGGCCTCCTCTCTCAGCCCCGGGCTCCTCTCCTGGTTCCCTGGGTCTGACGGTTCCTGCCTCCAGGACTCCCGCCGGCTGGGTCGGCACATCGAGGCTGCGCTGCTGGATGTGGCCTCCCTGTTTCAGGCCGGACAGCGTATGCAGCGCCGGTTCAGCGGTTCAGCGGAGGAAGACTCGGGGCACAGATGTGGATTTCTCTCCAGTAAAACTCTGAATTTTAAGACACCCACCGACTCTGAGCCCTTCCAGTAGAGAGCTGGTCTCCTTTAGGGCAGAGGGCACAGGGCCGAGCAGCCTACTTGCAGCCCCACATCTGGGCCAATAAAGATGTCTGAGTTGGGTGTGTGGTGTCCACTGTGCTCTGGGCTGGAGGTGGTGGTGGAGTGAAAATCAGGGTGCCTGATAGAAAAGTCCCACTGACTCCCAGTTCTAATCCCAGCCTCAGCCACAGCCTGTAAAACCCCAAGCCCCAGACAACCCCACAGTTGCTGCAGGCCCAGCACTAACTGTCAGCTCAGACTCATCTACAAACCTAAAGTTTGTAGATCCAACCAATCCAACGACCCCAACTGGCACCCCAAAGCAATCCACCAAGATTTTCGTTTTATGGTGCTGTGGATGGAACACAGTGTTTCGTGCACGCTAGGCAGCCCTGACCACCAACCCAGGAGTCCAATCTCCACAACCCCACTGCTTCCACTAAGGCAAACTGACCCACCCTAACCACAACATCTAAATCCTAAAGAAGCCAGCCTCCACCATCAACCCACCGACTCCATGTGGTTTCAAAATTTGTCCACAGGGCCCAACCCACTTTCCGGACTCCCTTCTGTCTCTCTTAGACAGAAGCTATCTCTCAATAAATTCTTCCTGCTCTTCAAAAAACAAAAAACAAAAAAACAAAACTTGTCCCCGACCTGGGCTTGGTGGCACTCAGAAGGCTGAGGCAGGGGGATCACAGTGAGTTTGAGGCCGGCCTGAACTACATGCTGAGACCTTGTCTCAAAAGAAAAAAGGAAGGATTCACTCCTCACAGAGTGGCTGATTCTCCTTGTGGGCTTGAAGCTCTGTAGAGAAAGCATTGTCCGCAAGAAAGTAGGGTGAGCAGGCCCCTCCAGCCAACATGACAGCCTGCAAAATTCCAGGGCGCTTGGTCACAAAGCCCTAGGCTAATGGGTTCCTGCTTCATCGGATCAGTGCCACCTAGGAAATTGCCACAAACTCAAGGCTTAAGACACACAGTTGTCACCTTCCAGTGCGGTGGGTGAGAAGTCTAGGCATAGGGCCCTCAATTGGCTCCTCTGCTTAGGGACTCACAGCCAACACTGAGGTGTCGCAGGGCCCTTTGTGGAGGCTCAGGGGTGAATCTGTGTCCTGGCTTGTTCTAGAAGCTGCAGCAACCCCTGGTGTGTAGTCACAACCTTATCCTATACCACCTCAGCTCTCTTTCCTTTTTTTTTTTTTGAGACAGGGTTGCTATGTAGTTCAGGCTGGCCTTGAACTCACTAAATACCCCAGACCAGCCTCAAACTCATTGTGATTCTCCTGCCTCAGCCTCCTGAGTGCTGGGATTACAGGCACACACCAACAAGCCCAGCTTCTCCTGTTTTGCTATGTCTCTCTCCTCCCTACTTTGGTGGATTTAGGAGATCAGACTGGTTTCACATGGGTAACCCAGAATTATCTTCCCATCTCAAAGCCCTGATCTGAATCACACCTGCTAAATCCCCGAAACCATATGGCCTAGCATAGTCACAAGGTTAGGGTGTGGGCATCTCTAGGCACCTATGAGTCCAATTATGTTCCCCAGAAAAGATGTTGAAATCCTAACCACCAGTACTTTAGAGAGGGGCCTTTTTGGAACTAGGATCATTGCAGATGTAATTAGAATGGGTTCATACAGGATGAGCCTGGGCCTTTAATCCAAGGTGACTGCTGTTTTCTGTGTGTGTGTGTTGGTACCAGGGATCGAACTCTGGACCTTGCGCTTGCAAGGAAAGCATCGGAACCACTGAGCTAAATCTCCGGCCCTGTGTGTGTGTGATTTTTAATCCCACTGAGCTAAATCCCCCACCCAGCTCTTTTCTTTTTTATTTACTTATTTATTTTTGGTACCGGGGATCGAACTTGGGTCCTTGTGCTTGCACAGCAGGCACCAGAACCACTGAGCTAAATCCCCAGGCCCTTTTCTTTTTCATTTTGAGGCAAAGTGTCACTGAGTTGCCCAGGCTGGGCTCAAACTTGGAATCCTCCTACTAAGCCTCCCAAGTGGCTGGAATTACAGGTGTGCACCCCAGTGTCTGGCTCAGCACAGGGCATACTGGGAGGAGGCCATGTGACAGCCAAGGGGGAGACTGCAGGGACCCATTTCCCGGCAGTGAACACGGAGACCCACCACCGGCCCACTAAGGGGAAGGGGCAGGAAGGCGCCTCCCCTGCAGCCCTAGATCAGTGAACGCCTCACCTCCTCATGACCCTGGCTCACAGTCCTGGGATTAGGGAGTGAGTTAAATTAGCAGCTGGGTGAAGGGTGGGCTGGGCCGCTGCACTACTTTGAAAACACAGACCTTTGTTGGTTTTGGTGCTGGGGCAGCAGGCATGCTAAGCAAGGGCTCTGCCACTGAGCCACACCACCCGACCTACACTTTTTTTTCAAATAGTACTAGGGTTTGAACCTACTTTACCCTGACCTACATCCCCAACCCTTTTAATGTTTAAATTTTCTTTATTTAGGCAGGGTCTTGTTATATAGTGCAGGTTGCTCTTGAACTCATTATGTAGCCCAGGTTGGCCTGGGACTCACAGCAATCCTCCTGCCTCAGCTTTCCAAGTCTGGGGTTACAGCTGTGTGCCACCACATCCAGTTTTTTGTGGGGGTTTTTTTTTTTTCACATAGGGTCTTTCTAAGTCACTGAGTTGCCCAGGCTGGGCTTGCCATCCTCCTGTCTCAGCCTCCCAGAGTGTCCTAGACTTTATTTACTTATTTATTTTTGGTACTGGGGATCAAACTCAGGACCTTGCACTTTTTTTTTTTTTTAGAACCTTACACTTTTGAGGCAGGTGGCAGAACCACTGAGCTAAATCGCTGGCCCCAATTTATTTATTTATTTATATTTATTTTTTGGTACCGCGGATCAAACTCGGGTCCTTGTGCTTGCACAACAGGCAGCGAAGCCACTGAGCTAAATCCCTGGCCCATTTATTTATTTTTTTGGAGATGTTTTATTTCAGCTCACAGAAGTATGGAGCAGAAAATCAGGGGATTCCCCCATCTACAGCCACCCCCCCATCAATGCTCCCCCCAGGGTGATTTGGGCAGTGGATGAAGCTGCAGGGACACAGGGTCACCACCCGGGCTTGAGTACTACTTTGGCTACTTCCTGTAAGTCTAAAACTGTTTCAAAATGAAAAACAGTCTTTAAAGGTATTTTCAAGATGTGCTCAGCATTTCTTGTGAGGAGTCTGGGAGATTAGAGAATCACAAGACCAGAGCAGAAATAAGACAAAAGACCACGTGCTCCTGTACTCACTAAGCATCCATTAACCACAAAAATATGTTCTGACCCCACTGGGTCCTGGAGATTAAGAAGCTTAGCTGATCCTTTGGTGTGACAATGGCATGGCGGTTATGTTAAAAAGTCATTTTCAAGAAATGCATCTCATCGTGCTTACGGCAGGCATGGAACCACACACATGCACTTCTGAATGGCCCAGTGGTTAACATCAGGTTGGTTGAGTGTTGCTGGAGCCACAAGTTCTCACACAGCTGGCAGCTTCACCAACACTAATTCACCTACAGTCCTGGAGGTCAGGACATAGGTTGCACAGGCTAAAGTGAAGCTGTCGGCAGGATTGCGCTCCTTCCTGAGGCCTGGGGAAGAGTCTGCTTCCCCATCATTTCCAGCTGGAGACCGGTGTATTGTGAGCTCACGGTCCTCCAACTTCAGAATCCACTCACTAGCTGGGCTTGGTGGCGCATGTCCATAATCACAGCACTGGGGAGGCAGAAGGATCACCATGAGTTCGAGGCCACCCTGGGTTACATAGTGAGTTCAAGGCCATCCCAAACTGCATAGTGAGACCCTGTCTCAAAGCACTAGAAAACAACCATAAAAATTATATAGGATCTCAAGGGACTTAGAATAGCAAAAGAAATATAAAAAAACAAAAAACAAAAAACAAAGAACCAGCCTCAGAATTTCTGGTTTCAAAACTTACTACAAATCTTCACTAACCAAAACAGTGTGGAACTGGTGTAAAGACAGGTTTTTTTTGAGATAGGGACTTGTTATATAGTCCAGGCCACCCTTAAACTCATGGCAAGCCTCCTGGCTCAGCTTCCAGGTGCTGGAATTACAGGTTTGTGCTACCATACCCAGCTAAAGACAATTATATTGACCAATGGAATAGACTCAGACCAGAAAAAATCTTTCATATGAGATCAATTTTTTGTTTGTTTCTGCAGTACTGAGATTT